AGAATGTGTTTTTACAAGAATAATTCGTTTATCACTTTGTCGCATTTTTTAGTCATCAAACTCTGGCGTTTACAGTTATCACGGAGCAGCCATGTTCTTGAGTACGTACGCAGAAGCTTGGCTGGAGCATGCACCTGGTATAGACAGGCAGACAGGTAGATGTACAGTTAGGCACCCAGAACAAGTAGACAGGAAGACAGACCAGGTAGCCATACGGCAGCCATCAGTTAGCCATACCGCAACCATACATACAGCAGCAGCCATCAGTAGCCATACAGCAGCCATCAGTAGCCATGCAGCAGCAATCATCGGTAGCCATACAGCAGCCATCAGTAGCCATGCAAGCCATCAGGTGGCCATACCAGAAACCATCAGGGTGGCCATACAGCAGCCATCAGAGAGTAGCCATGCAATCAGGCCCATCCAGTAGCCAAAAATACAGCGCAGAAGCCATTATGGTAGCCATGCAGCAGCCATCAGTAGCCATACAGCAACATACAGCAGCCATCAGTAGCCGCCATACAGCCATCAGTCCATACAGTACAGCAGCTTTCATCAGTGGCCATACAAAGCGGCCATCAGCTACAGCTGTTTCACCGCGCTATACAGACCATACAGCGGCCATCAGTGGCCATACAGCGCAGCCATCAGTGGCCATACAGCAGCCATCCATACAGCAACCATATTGGAAGCAGCCAGCAGTCATCAGTGGCCATATACAGCAGCCATCAGTAGCATACAGCAGCCATCAGTGGCCATACAGCAGCCATACAGCAGCCATCATTGGCCATCCATCATTGGCCATCAGTGGCCATACAGCAGCCATACAGCAGCCATCAGTAGCCATACAGCAGCCATCGAGTAGCCATACAGCAGCCATCAGTGGCCATACATCAGCCATACAGCAGCCATCGAGTGGCCATACAGCAACCATACAGCAGCCATCAGTGGCCATGCAGCAGCCATCGGTGGCCATACAGCAAGCCATACAGCAGCCATACAGCAGCCATCGAGTAGCCATACAGCAGCCATCAGTAGCCATGCAGCAGCCATCAGGTGGCCATACAGCATACCATGCGGCGGCCCATCATTGGCCCGTCCAGCAGACCATCAATGGCCATACAGCAGCCATCAGTGACCATGCAGCGGCCATCAGTGGCCATACAGCAGCCATCGGTGGCCATACAGCAGCCATACAGCAGCCATCGGTAGCCATACAGCAGCCAACAGTAGCCATACAGCGTTTCATCAGTGGCCATACAGCAACCATACAGCAGCCATCAGTGGCCATCCAGCGGCCATCAATGGCCATGCAGCAGCCATCAGTGGCCATACAGCAGCCATCAGTAGCCATACAGCAGCCATACAGCAGCCATCAGTAGCCATACAGCAACCACAAGTAGCCATACAGCAGCCATCAGTAGCCATACAGCGGCATCAGTGGCCATGCGGTATGCATCAGTAGCCATACAAACAACCATCAGGTGGCCATACAGCAACCACAGAGTAGCCATACAGCGTATGCATCAGTAGCCATACAGCGGCCATCGAGTGGCCATTACGGCAGCCATCAATTGTGGCCATACAGCGAAGCCATACAGCGGCCATCATTGGCCATACAGCAGCCATACAGCAGCCACCGGTGGCCATTACAGCAACGGCCACAAGTAGCCATGCAGCAACCACACAAGTAGCCATAATAGCGTACCATCGAGTGGCCATGCAGCGAAATACCATAAAGCGGCCATCGGTGGCCATGCAGCGGCAATCAGCGGCCATACAGCAGGCCATACAGTAGGCCATCAAGTAGCCATACAGCGGCCATCAGGTGGCCATCGGTGGCCATGCGAGCCATCGAGTGGCCATACAGCAGCCATCAGAGGCCATCAGTGGCCATACAGCAGTACATCAGAGGCCATCGGTGTATGGCCATACAGCAAGTTTTCATCGAGTGGCCATACAGCAGCCATCAGTGGCCATACAGCAACCATAAAGCAGCCATACAGCAACCATAAAGACGCCATACAGCAGCCATCAGCGGCCATCGAGGTGGCCATACAGCAACCATAAAGCAGCCATCGGTGGCCATACAGCAGCCATACAGCAGCCATTACAGCAGCCATCGGTAATAGCCATACAGCAGCCATCGAGTGGCCATACAGCAGCCATCAGTGGCCATACAGCAGCCATCAGTGGCCATCAGCAGCCATACAGCAGCCATCAGTGGCCATCAGTGGCCATACAGCAGCCATCAGTGGCCATGGCAGCAGCCACAAGTAGCCATACAGCAGCCATACAGCAGCCATCAGTAGCCATCAGGTGGCCATCGAGTGGCCATACAGCAACCACAAGTAGCCATACAGCAGCCATCACTGGCCATGCAGAACCATGCCAAAGCAGCCATCGGTAGCCATACAGCGGCCATCCAGTGGCATGCATCAGTAACCATACAGCGGCCATCAGTGGCCATGCAGTAGCCATCAGTGGCCATACAGCAGCTAACAGCAGCCATCAGTGGCCCATACAGCAACCACAAGTAGCCATACAGCAGCCATCAGTGACCATACAGCAGCCTAACAGCAGCCATCAGTGGCCATACAGCAACCACAAGTAGCCATACAGCAGCCATCAGTAGCCATCAGTTACCATCATCAGTAGCCATCAGTAGCCATCAGTTACCATCAGTAGCCACCAGCGCCATCATCAGTAGCCACGAGTAGCCACCAGTAGCCATAAGTAGCCACCAGCAAGCCATCAGTAGCCATCAGCAGCCATACAGCAGGCATCAGTAGCCATCAGTAGCCACCAGTAGCCATCAGCAGCCATCGGCAGCCATACAGTAGCCACCAGTAGCCATCAGTAGCCATCAGTAGCCACCAGTAGCCATCAGTAGCCAGCCAGTAGCCATAGCCAGCCACCAGCGGCCATCAGTGGCCACCAGTGGCCACCAGTGGCCATCAGTAGCAGCCACCAGCAGCCACCAGCAGCCATCAGTAGCCATCAGTAGCCACCAGCAGCCACCAGCAAGCAGCCATACAACAGCCATACAGCAGCCGCCAGTATCCATTCAGTAGTCACCAGTAGCAATACACTGGTACAGACCCCTGCGTACCCGTGAAGGTCCGGGTTAGAATATTGATCTTCAGCAACACATACTTGTCGTAAGAGGCGACCACCGGGATCGGGTGGTCAGGCTCGCTGTCTTGGTTGACACATGTCATCGGTTCCCAATTGCCCAGATCGATGCTCATGCTGTTGATCACTGGATTATCTGGCCCAGACTCGATTATTTACAGACCGCCGCCATACAGCTGGACTATTGCTGAGTGCGGCGTAAACCTAAACTCACTCTCACTCACTCGATCACTCAGATCCCTGCGCCAGTGACATGCAGCCTTCACCTGCTGGAGTATGTATCCCTGCATTCCAGTGTAAGATGGCCAACATCCGAGGAGTACGTCAGATGGCAAGTGTGTTCCGAGTGTTTACCCGATCTTCTAACTCACCGAGGGAACGTCTAGCTGCAGCCGTAGAAGTGCACATTTGGAAAAACTGATAGCAAACAGACGTTATGGAACTTCAAGTAAACACCTGATAGAAGCTGCTTTCTTCGCAATACTATATAAACATTTCACTGGATGTTCCAGATTAACTGTCAACAAACCTGACTCTTGATTTTCTCAAGAACAAAGCACTTCAAGAATATCTACCACAGCACCCGACTTCGCTGATATACGGGCGGTATTTTAACACAACGTGGACGCAATACGACAACAGTGGCAACAGTCAACAAACGTGCGTTAGAGTCAACTTAATCCAGTGGAGGACGACTAAAGAGTGTATTCAAGAACTATACGCCTACAAGAATAATGTATGAAGTATGTACATACGGCAATAAGTAATGTACAGACATCCGCACATTCTTGGATGCGTGAATGTAGGTGAGGCAGTATTGACTGACTGACTGAGTTGTGTTTACGCCGCTTTTAGCAATATTCCAGCAATATCACGGCGGGGACACCAGAAATGGAAGCTTCACTCATTGTACCCATGTGGGGATTCGAACCCGGGTCTTCGGCGTGACGAGCCAACGCTTTAACCACTAGACTGGATCACCGCCCCAGGTGAGGCAGTCTGTCAACAGAGGAAGTACGTCAAAGAGATAAGTTATAGATTTGCGGCTTAGCAAGTATTCAGGCACGGTGATACTTGTCAGTATTAACATAGGGCAATGTGAAGTACACACTTCGCATAAGCCAAAAAATACGGAAATGTATTAAACGTGTTAAAGTGTACATAAGTCGGTTAAGCTTGAACATAGATGAATGAAATTCGACACACGGATGAACATATATATTGTTGTCATTGTCAGCATAAATTCAGTTCACTCACTGCACGTGTGTGGACATAAGGGGTGTTCAGGTCAGTACCTGGTGACAACACCCTTGCAGCCGTCACTGCTCTCGACACCGCCTTGGAAGGGGCTGCATAAGTCGTCGGATTTTTGCTTGGGGAATTCTTCCCCATTCCACCTGCAACGCGTTGGCAAGTTCTGCAAAGTGTCTGAGGTGACGTTTACGGACACGTCGATCAAGTTCGTCCCAGAGATTCTTGACACGTTGTCTCCTTTACTGTCCTTACAGGAGGAAACGCGATTCATCGCTAAACCAAACGCGTAAGTCCCATGCGTTCCCCAGGTTCCATGTCTTGTATCCTGTTGAACATTGGACACGTCGTTGTCGGTATAGTCGAGTCAGGACAGGTCCAACTTTGGTATATATGCTCGAATACTCCACGTCTCTCAGGGACGATTTGGTCGGAAATTCTTCGAAGACCAGGCACCTGTCCTAAAGTGTCCGTTTGCTGTAGCAAATCGGGGAGGAAGGTAAAACACCAGGATTAATCAGTCTTGAGCAGAAGTGGTCAGTCTTGGGTCTTCCAATTGAGGGGAGGGATCTTGGGTCGACTTGAAGCAGGTATATATAGGTCATAATCGAGATATGGTGCAGTGGTGGACGTTGAAGCGTCTTGTAACGGCAGACTGGGACTCCCCTGCTTCCAAACGTCCAATGGTGAAATTTCGATCAGTAGCATTCAAACTTGGCATTTTTATCTAATTTCATAATGAAATGATGATGTGGTTTTGGCTCCTTTATAGTTGATGTCTCCACCATGTGTCCGACACATTGCACGTGCATTACCTGGAGAACGTTATCTGCATGTACTTTTCATGTATCGTTTTAATTTTTATGACAAACGTTTATAACACAATTTGGGAGGCGTTTGCGCGCAACAATACAACCACGCGATGATTAACGAGATCCAAACGTTGGAATTCTCTTAATGACGATTGCTGTCAAAAATATATCTAAATCGAACTAATGAAAACACATATGCGTTTCTTTTTTTTTTTTTTTTTTGGAAGAGTGTATATAGGTATGGCAAACATGTATCAATTTTAATTCATTTTAAATATGTATACATCTCTGTGGTGGATAGCGTCAGCACTCATCCAGTGTTTCCCTGCTTTCCTTGTATCTCTCTACCTCTCTTTGCTTGCGCACAGGGCTTCCCTCAAATCCCCCGTGAAGATTTTCACACTACGGAAGGTACACTCACAGTGACCTGACCGTCATTCTCAAACCCGCACTAATGCACTCTTCTATCTAACCAGCTTCGCCAATAAACTATATATGCAAAACAGACCTCACCTTTACATCCTAATAACGATAGAATTTACAGCACAGCTATTTGAGCTGTTACTTCCACTACATATAAGTGGCGCACTGGTTGCCTCGTGATATTAATCCCAGAATAGAACAACGATTTAATCTCTTGAGGACTACACCCCGACCAACATCCCAATGGCACCTCCCAGCACTACACCCCGACCAGCATCCGGCCTGGCACCTCCCCGGCACTACACCCCGTCCATCCAACGCTCCCCAGCACTACCACCACCGACCCCACATCCAGCAGCATACAGCACTACACCCCGACCACATCCAGCAGCCTCCCCAGCGCACCCAGACCCGCATCCAGCAGCACCTCCCCAGCACTGCACCCCGACCCACATCCCGGCGGCACTCCCCAGCGCTGCGTCCACATCCAGCAGCAGCAGCACCTCCTGGCGCACACGCACACGACCCACATCCCAGCCTTGGCACCTCCTGGCCTGCACCCCCGACCCACATCCCAGCAGCACCTCCCCAGCACTGCACCCGTCCCACATCCCAGCGGCTCCCAGCACTACACCCAGTCCCATCCAGCGGCCTCCCGGCACTGCACCCCGTCCCACATCCCCGGCACCTGCCCGGCGCCACCCCAGTCCCACATCCAGCAGCACCTCCCCAGCTGCCCCCGTCCCTCCCGGCGGCACCTCCACAGCACGGCGCCACCCCGTCCCACATCCCGGCAGCACCTGCAGCTACACCCCGACCCATATCCAGCAGCACCTCCCTGGCCACTGCACCCCGACCCACATCGGCGCCTCCCCAGCACCACACCCCGACCCACATCCAACAGCAGCTCCCCAGCACCGACCCACATCCAGCAGCACCACAGGACTACACCTGTCCCACATCCAGCAGCACCTTCCCAGCGCTGCACCCCGACCCACATCCAACAGCACCTTCCCAGCACTACACCCCGACCCACATCCAGCGGCACCTCCCATGCGCCCTTTAGTACTACACCCCGTCCCACATCCAGCTTGGCCTCCCTGGCACTACACCCCGTCCACATCCAGCGGCACCTCCCCCAGCGCACCACACCCGATCCCCACTGCCTCCATGCCTTCCATTTCCTTCCATCCATGCTTCCTTCACATCCATGCTCGTCCTTTTCCTCTGGGGCCACATGCCTCCTCCATCCATGCCGGCCACATCCAGGGGTTCCATGCCATCCATTTGTCTGGTTGTGCCATCCATGCCGGGCCATGCCTCCAGCACCTCCGTCCATCCATGCCGGCCATCTGGGATCGGTTCGGCGTATCCAGTTGTGTGGGTTATCGTCCGGCTGTGTGGTCGGCTGGTCGGTCCCTCGGTGTTCCTTCTGTGGTCTGGTCCTTCCACCTGTTGGCTATCCGTTACGTGGTGGGCCATCCATCCACCGTTTATCCATTTCCGTGGTTTCCTGTGTCGGCTCGGGTCGTCGTTTCTTCGGTGGTCTCTCGGTCGTGGTCGGTCCTGGTTTCAGTTCATGGCCGGCCTGAAGGCCTGGTTTCTTCATTTTCCACTGTTCCTGTTCCGGGTCTGTGGTCCATGTGGGTTGGTCGTTCTGTGTCTGTGTCGGCCACTGTGTCTCCTCCTGGCCATATCCGGCTCCATTATTCCTTCTTCCATTCTCTTCCGGGTGTGCCTGGTCAGGGGTCCACTGTCTCCACTCCTGTGTGTCTCCGTGTGGCTGTGTGTTCGGTGTGTTGTTGTTGCTTGCTGGCCCGTGGTGAGTGTGGGTTATGTCGATCTGGAGTTGGCAGATATGGGATTGTGGTATTCCGGCCCTGTGTGTGTGTGTGGCGGCCCAGCCAATGTGGCAGCA